TAAAAAATAAAGAAAAATAAAATATATAAGAAGCATAAACCTGAAAAGCAAATGTATCATAGGTTGAGCATTCAATGTACTGAAGGTAAATTCATAAAAAGAAAACAGAAGTAATGCATGGAAACATCCCAGGTCCGCAGGGCAGGTGTCTTTGGAACGAAGGATGGATCTGCCGGGCACCCAGAAGAGCAGGGAAAAAGACCCATGTCAGGAGCCAGCCTCCTGAAAGTCCGGCTGGTCATGAGCAAAGAAATGAATATGAGAGGGAAATTAAACTTCGCAGTAAAAACATTTGCTGCAAAAAGTCAACGGGAAAAACTCATTCCAAATTCTGCAGGGCAAGTTTTCACGTTAGAGTCGGACCCCCAGCGAGACCCTCACTGAGTGTGGGGCCAGAGCACAAATGTTTGCAGGAGAGCTAGGAGCAGTACCCTTGGCCTCCCATGCAGTTGTTCACAGGAAGTTAGGAGGGGACGCTGCTCTCCCACAGTAAAGGAGTCGAGAGAGGGAAAGTACCCAGGAGAGACAACAAGGCGACAAGGAGAGACAACGGTCTCTCGAGAGTAAGGTCCAATTGCTGAATTTTTAAAGAGGGGGACAGGGGAGAAAAGGGGAGCCCGGGAAGGAGAGGTGGGTCTGGGGGCAGAGGCAGATACAAGAATGTGTGGTTGTGTGCACACAAGTGTGAATGTGCACCTGGAAGACGGCTCTCTGAATGGTTCCCTCTGCAGACTCACTTCACTCAGCAGGACTGTACGCTCCTGGCGGGAGTGGAGACCTGGTGCTTTCAGGCCCTTCCAACTGACCCGCACATCCCAAGGGAAGGAATGAATTTGCTGGAAGTAGCTTGTGTGTTGGGCGCAATAGGGTGTGGATGCAGAGTGATGGGTCATGAGGAGCGAAGCCTTCAGAATGTCACCAGCACTCCAGCACTGCCCCCCATCTCATACCAGCATGCTCTCAAGAACGTACAGGACGATGAGTCCCAGCCCAGTGCTGCTCGGGCACGCTCAGACCGCTCTGGGCTAGTTCTCTGGGGAGAGAGCAAAAGACTTTGATGGAGTCTCGACTCTGGGTCAGACATGTTACCGGCGTCTTCCCACCCAAGCTACTGGTGCTCTTGTGGTTGGCAGCCCCCAGTGTGCTCTGGGCCGGTTACATCACCAACTCCTTGGGCTAGTGGTGGAAGGCTCAACTGCTTGCCTGAGGTGAGTGTCATTATCACAATCACATGCACGTCTAAGATAGGGAGGTTACATGCAAAAATGACCAAGAGGTGAACAATGAGACTCAAGTCTGTCTGCTAGATTTCAAAGTCCCATGCCCTAAAGGGAAAGGGTGAAGAAAATGCACAGGGCTGAGCATCAGTCGTGGGGAGAAGGGGTTTGAGGTTTGGCAATGACTCTACTTCAACAGCCAAGAACCACAGCTGCTTTTGCTCCAGACTCACCCCTGCCCTGCCCTCTTCAGGTACGAGAACCCCACGGCTCTCCCCAGTGCCTGCCTCGGTCTAAAATCAGCACATCCATCCTAAGGGAAGGAGTGGGTTTTGCCATTTTAGGCTTTAGAGTAGAAGTGAGAGCTTCGGCAAGGCAAAAGTCCGTGCCCAGACGTTATCAGCTCTGCCTTGTGCAGCTCACTTGACGACCTCCTTCCAAGAGCCAGAACCTGACTTGTCAGAGCCCAGCTCCATCCTCTGCCCTGCCCCCTTTCCAACAGAGTCCCAATGGGTTGGGCTGGTCATCCAGAACCTTTGAGCTCTTTGGGGTGGCGACAGGTCCTTTAGTGTTGGGGACAAGGAAACAGAGCATACGGGCATGTTGTTCAAAGGCCTGCAGGGTAGGGGCAGATGGCTGGTGGCTAAGGCACTCAATATACAATTGCTCTTAATATACAATTGCTCTTTGATATAAAGCTAATGTCTCTGGACTTGTTTCTGTAGTCTATCCGGACTAACGTTGGCAGGACTACAATAATTCATAAACACATGCACACATACACTTTGCTAATATAGGTAATAGTTATGTGTATCATTTACATGCGTAAAATAGAAGATGTTTTACATGGTTACAACGTTAAAGTCTGATCATGGCTTTTCAGGTCCGGCTTGCATGGGGTCTCATCCTAACCTAGAATAAGTGAGAAAGTAGATTATTCTTCATTCACTTTCCCAAAGACGTCACCCTGAGTCTCCTGGTGCCCTCATCCACAGTGACGTGTCTTTAAAAATCACCATCACCCATGTGTGGTGCCTTTACCTTTCCCAAGACTTTTTTTTTTTTGGCTAACCCTATGTTCCTCTTTCTTCTGTTTCCCTAAGAGAACATAAGCAAATGGGCGGCAGACATTCTCCACATGCAAACATCCCCTTGGAAACGAAACCACTGACAACAGAAAGATGCTCCATGGATTTCCACTGCTGTGTGTGTTGGGGGGTGGGGGTGGGGCGCTGATCCCTGATGCCTCTGTTCCCCAGGGCCCCCTGCTTGATGAGAAGTGCCTCCACCAGTCAAATACAGATGGTGAGCCCTTTAATCCAAAACCACCCCTGAAATCTTTAAACTGAAGAACAGATGATGTTTAATTGATAAAATAAAAATAACCCATATAAAACAAAAAAACAAGGCCTGCCAGGAACACGGTGCTCCTTGAAAGGATTTCCTCTGAGATGGAATTGACCACTGCAACTCAGGGAGTGAAGGGCTGGGAGCGAGGGCAGTGGGTTCGAGACCGAGGTGGCAGGAGAGTGTGCACGGCTGAGAGGAAGGCTGAGCATGCCGAGGCAGGTGTGCAGCGCCACTGGGCAGTACACGGCGACTGTAGAAGGGTCTCTCTTTGGCGGCATAGGCTTTCACCGTCATACAGAGCTTATTTAAAAAGAGACCAAAAACACACTCACAGATGGAGAGGCAGATAGGGGAGAGGGGCTTTTCCAAGGAGACCCCTGGAATCTTTGGAGAATCAGAAGTAATCCCTTCAGCGGTGGGGCAGTGGAGGGTGGGCACAGGGGCACTGGAAAGGGTTCTGTGTGAGGTGAGCAGGCTGAACCTCCGTATTGGGTTTCATGTGAGATTTTGTTGGAATGAAAAAGTTTCACAGCTCAAGGTGAGGGGGCGGGCATTGGGAGACCACATAGACATTTCAGAACCCCTCACAGAAATGTTAGGACCAAATCCTCTCTTTCAGCTCCAGGGCACAGGCAAACACCCTGAACTAAGTAATTATCAAATAGTCACAAAGTGAGGGGCAGCAAGGATGTGGGTCTGAGGGTGGACAATGGTTGTCAGGATGGGCATGTTGGGGCCTGGAATTCCATTTGTCTCCCATTCCTACAGAGGGGCTCCCTCTGGCTGTCCAACTGGGTCTGGCTTGCACCAACATGGCAGAAACAAGGGTGAGAATTGGCGAAGCCAGTAGCCAACAGTCACCAAATACTTGCTTTTGTGTTCCCCCAGCCCACCCCCCTTTGGTACCACGGTTCTCTAAATGAGCACTTGCTTTGGATAAATCACTCTTGGACACTCACACCAAGGACTCTGTCTCTTTGGATTCACCACCCCGAGAGTAGCACTAATGCCTGGGGCTCAGGAAAGCTCTGAGCATGTGGGTCATATCCCATTTTCTAAACTCTAGCTCCCAGAGAGCATGGTCCAGCTTGATTCGCCTCTGCCTCCCTGCCTTCCAGCACCTAACACCTTTGCACGTGGAGTGGGCACTCGATACGAGTGCCTTCGAATGCACGGGGGTGGGGAGGTGGGGGGTGGTGGTGTTGCTGGTGTTGTCTGACTGCCTGGAAAGGGGTGTGCTGCTCCCCCAGCATCCCAAACTGCCCATCAAAACAGACACTGGGGGATTTCAGTTGCACATAATCCAATGGGGCTTGCTTCTCTGTTTACTGATCCTTCGCTCTGCCTGGGACCACCCAATAAGGCCCCCCGCCCCCCGCCCCACCCCGCTGCCAGGTGGCTCAGAGGCCCTCTGCAGAGGGAACTGGAGGATACAGACGATGGATATGTACTCATTTCCCCTTGGTCCTGCTCGCTGGAGGCTGGAGCTAAAGAATCCACAACATACAGTGGCAAGCGAACCAGCGCTGCTCCGGCATCCCCTGAGGTGTGGTGACCACTCACCCACATGGCTCTCCTTGACTCTGTTCCAGGAAATGCCCACCCACATGAAGCCCAGGCACTAGAAACTGTCCTGGTGATCGATGTGCCAGCCTCTTGGCAAGGAGTCCTTGAGTGTACAAACGGCTGAGGGTCCGGCCAGGCCACTAAGCGAAAGGTCAGCTCAGGAGAAAGGCCAGCCCTCACCTGGAGGAGTGCAGCCCCAGGGAAGCCGGCAGGTGGGGCACTGCTCTACTCACTAGTCAGCTGGCTGGTTTTGGGTGTCCTTGCTTGGCAGAAACACATACTGTGGGTGCGAAGGAAGGTCCGCCAGGACGGGTGGTGGTGACAATGGTGATGACAATGAGGACCGAGAGAGCGGCTCGGACTGCTCTTGGGCTGGGCTCCTTGGGTCGCATTTAAATGTCACAGCTGGCACAGGCGGGGCAATTCTGACTCCAACAGGACCCAACCCGACTACGCACGTGCGCCCGACAAGGCCTGGATGGGACAAGGCCTGGTCACATGATCAGGGGCCAGGGCTTGCGTTGGACCCATGGGAATGGGGGTGGGGGGACTTACCTGGGAAGTACAGAGTTGGGAGGCCTGGCTTTGGCCGGAGACGTGACTTTACATTCTGGCCCCGAGTCCCCTGCAGATCCGGGAAGAGGACCTTGGGCCGGCCCAGGCTGGCCTGTGAGTAGCTCCCTGGCTGGAGGCAGGAGATGCTCTTTATCTTTAACTTCCTTTTCCCGAGACTTGGCTTTGTGCTCTGCCAGGAGGAGGTCGAATTGCTTTCTCCGGCCCGGGACTGCCCTCCGATGGCTTAGCGAGTGTGTCTAGGGAGAACAGAGACGGAAAGCACAGCCTCTTTGATCAGCACATACGCCTGCTTCCCCTGGCCCTCCCCTCACAAGCAAGAGTCAGTCAACTTCAGGCACACACACACACACACACACACACACACACACACACACA